TATAAATATAAAATCTAAAAAAATCTTGCTTATAAGCCGTTATAGCGAGAAGATTACGCGTTGTATCAAAATTTTTTTCTAGACGAACGATTCTCGAGTGACTTTCTCAAGAAAGCACACTTTTCCAGTAATCGTTTTCTTGTTTTACATGCTTGCATCGTTAAACGTTGATGAAATTCGCGAACGTTACGATCGCAAGATTCGATGGTCTCTGGTGGTGTGTTTGGCGAAGCGAACACACTAGTGTTTGCAAGACAGTATTTACGAGCTCAGGTAACCGTGTAAACCATCCAGCTAATAGAATATGCCCATTTTCTGGCCCCGTAGGAAACATAAGGGCTCGGAACCGTAACGAGGAAACCTCGGCTTCAACGTTATCGCGATTTTCCCCTCTTGCATAGGGACGAGTATAACTTTGCACAACGTAGCTTCGCGTAACCTGTGTGCAAATTGTCGACATACTTCGTCTTGTTGATTTTTCTTTCCATTAATCCCGAGACAGTGACGGTTTACATTTCATTTTTATTTTCTAAATTGTTAGACTTAGCGTAGATTAAGAAAAAGGAGGAATGAAATAAGGAACAGTGGAAGGAGGGTCTGAAGGAAAAGACAGAAAGTTGGAGATTCGAAGAGCAGTGAGTTATTAAAAGTTTATTAATTGCGAGAGAACAGTGAGAGTCATTAAGGGTCCATTGTAAACTTTCCTGTATAATTAAGCAAAGTTTCGTTCCTATTAATGTTTTATAATAATCCAGCAGGTGAGATTTACTTTGAAATAATTCTTCGATTAAGTATATTTCTAAAATCAAAAGTTTCAGTCGAACAAAAGGTACGAAAGAAAGAGACGGTAGAAATGTTGGGATAGTTTTAATTAGGTTCACATCTGATAATAAAATACAGGCGGAACAATAGAGTTGCGAGCGACACGATGCTATTGAATATTTTAATTGAGTAATTAGACTCCCCTGTTCTCGTTTTCCCTTCGTTTCGCCGCTATAGGATGCCCTGCGAAGGGCGAAGTGAACTTTCCACCCTTAATGCCACGGTTTACGGTGACAATGAACGGTGGTGATTAGAAAAAGGGAAAGCAAACCCGTTACGGGATATTTTCGCTAACAGACACCAGGGAATTACCAAACTTCGTTATTTAATTATCACCGGTCCATTCGCACGAATGTTGATATTAACTTAATCAATTTCAATGTAAAGGGTTAATATCAGATCGTACTGTAGGAGAGTAAAATCCATTCAAAGGGCTGTTAGTAAAAATAGAATGGAGGATAGTGTTACCGATGGTATAAATAGCCAGTTTCGAACGTAGAACGGGGTGAATCGTGTTGGTCGAACGCCATGAAACGAAATGGTTGAAAGGAGCAGACCCTTCGGCGGTGTTCGAAGTGAATTCAACGCCGAAATCGACGATACGATCCACTAGGAAAGAATCGACGTCGTAGTTTCGAGCCAACTACGAGCGCGAATGGAAACTACAGCAGCCGTTGGGAAAAGTCTGTCGTGAAACAAGAAGTGGGTAACAATGGGGTATTCTGTGTAGGCGTGTCCGTTCGATCGTGCTCGCAGGCATTCCCTGTGAAACGAGACGTTAAAACGAGAAAGGAAGCGTGTGAGTCAAGCAAAGGACAATGGCAGAGAATGGCCAATTTTGGAATTGAACGTGAAAGAAAAATTCCTTTATAACATTAGTCGCAACGATCTAAAGAATCAGAAACTCGTTAGTTGCTGTTCCCTTTCTCTATTCCTTTCCATTTTTTTTTAACTGAATTATTGTGTATGGATATTGGCTGCATGGAAATTTCATTAATATAATTTATATAAGATGGTTCATTACCTGAGGCAATAAATAAGAGTACATACAGAAATTCCTGCAATGTTCTGTTACGAATTTCAATATGAATTTCACAGCTATGCAATGCTCAGAGAATGTACAACTAATGGATGTAAAATATGGTATTAATTTAACAAATTTCAATTAGTATATACAGACCTCCAAAATGAATAACAATATAGAGCAATAAACACATTGACTGCCGCAGTGAAAATACCTGTGCATGGTCAGACATGTTATAACTACAAATTATAATAAAAGTTCATGAACAAACTTGAATATCTCCAGCATTCTTGAAGCTTAAAAGTACGAGAACAGATATGTATTAGGATGAAATGTTGAACACAGAATAGTTTGAGAGATATCTCAAATCAAGTGTTGCAATGTACTTACTCGATACGAATGCATTTTTTTGAAAACGAATTTTTTCACTTTTCTTTACGTAGATCGATTCTTTTAGACATTCTGTACAAGAAAGTATTAGGGTAAAATGTTGAAAACAGAATAGTTTGAGAGATATTTCAAATGAAGTGTAGCGATGCACTTACCCGATGCACATGCACTTTTTTTATAAATTGATTTTTGAATTTTTTTTTACGTAGATCGATTCTTTTATATATTCTGTACAAGAAAGTATTAGGGTAAAATGTTGAAAACAGAATAGTTTGAGAGATATCTGAAATCAAATGTAGCGATGCACCTACCCGATGTACATGCATTTTTTTGAAAACGAATTTTTTCATTTTTCTTTACGTAGATCGATTCTTTTAGACATTCTGTACAAGAAAGTATTAGGGTAAAATGTTGAAAACGGAATAGTTTGAGAGATATCTGAAATCAAATGTAGCGATGCACCTACCCGATGCACATGCATTTTTTTGAAAACGAATTTTTTCATTTTTCTTTACGTAGATCGATTCTTTTGGACATTCTGTACAAGAAAGTATTAGGGTAAAATGTTGAAAACAGAATAGTTTGAGAGATATTTCAAATGAAGTGTAGCGATGCACTTGCCCGATGCACATGCACTTTTTTTATAAATCGATTTTTGAATTTTTTTTACGTAGATCGATTCTTTTGGGCATTCTATATGAGAAACTATGTGCATATGTCTTATCCCAGGTAAAATCAGAGCATTTTTTCTAAGATTTTGGCGAACTTTCGTGGCTCGATATTCTTCCCGCGGATAAACAGGAACCGTTTGAAACAAACGTTTCATGGACGTGGCCAACACCACCGCAATCTCTGCCGCTTGGTGATTCTCCAAATTTCGTGCCTTCCAGTCGCGGCACGTACGTTCAGTTATTTGATCTGCCCCTTAGATTCGAAGTTGGCCGAAAGCACGACCAGCGATACCTTTCGACCAGTTCCTATCCAATTTGCCTTGTCCGTGAATTTAGAGTCTCTCCAGAAACGAACAGAGAGAAGGGCAGGAAAAAAGGGGTAGAAAGACTGGAGTAATCAAAGGAGGGAAACGTGGCGTAGATGAAACAGGAGGAAGAAAAAAAGCGCAGTTAAATTACAGTGTAACGTAGGTCAGCTTTACGTATTCCGCTTGGACACGCGAGGCGGACCCTTAAATTCATCGCTGACCTGATTTACACATGGCGTGTAATTTGAACGGAATGCATCGTGGAGATAAGAAATCGTAATTGAACCTTTGAACCGTGTTCCTAGATTCAAGTGGTGGAAAAGTCGTGGAAAGCTACGACATGCTAGAAACTGTTGCTATTTATTTCCGCGTGTTAAATTTTAGATTAAACCAGATATAATATTTCATACTCTTTTTTTGTTTAAATATAGGACGTAAAATAATGAAAAACTCCAATGCCATTTTGAAATACAAGCAATGAAAACTCTACTCAATATTCGTTTTAACATCTCATCTCCTACACCATGTTTTTAATACACTTTAATGGTGATTTATGTTGCATGATATTCAGCCAAAAAAGAAATATATCCGGATAAATGTCGGTCCCATTTAAATTGATACAGTGCGGGTAAGCTCGAGTTTAAATAAATTTGAATACTAAATCAGAGAGTAAAAAGGTACGCTTTGGTTTCGTATCGAGAAACTCTTCACTGGCTAATAAATGTGACTCGGTTTCAAGGAATATTTCAGCATCGTTTAAAATAGTAACGGACGGTCGTGGACATGGAGAAACTGTGCGTTAAATTTCAACTTGACGACAATCCATGGCGCCCCCTTTCGTTATCGGCTGCCAATCCTTTTGACTCGTTCCCATCGAAATGCGTATCGATATCGTCCGGTGAATTCCACAATTTCGCGTGTACCTCGTAACAATTTCAATTTCTGCCCCGCCGAAATCCCATTTTCCAGCGGAATACAATGGGAAATTTTATCGAACGGTCCTGTCTCGTCGTTCCGCGCCGATCCACCCACTTTCGACTCTCAACCGACACACTTCTCCCTCGCTTCTCCATCGTTCCCGGTCATTCTCGCGGGATTATGTTAAACAGCAGCCGCCCGCTAGCGATAAAACACGTCAATTAAACAATAATCTCTAAAGAAAATTCTCGAATATTATTCCAAATAATTTCCCATGCGAACGGGTGAAAAAACATTTCCGTTTTCCCTGTAATCCAACGATCGAATTGTTCGACCGAAAGATTCGGGAAATTGGTAGGGTAAACAACAGGGAACACGCCAGAGGCGAGCCAGACATTCTCGAAATTATTAGTTCGCAAACTATTTGCATTAACGTTAGATCAAAGAAGACGGTCTTGGCACCGAACAACCAGGCATTTCGTGTTGTACGTCAACCGTGATTGCGTGCCGCAACGGTAGAACAACGACGTTACTACACGTTACTGTTGACGGAAGTTCACTCTTAATCAGCTGCTTATTAGAATTAGCCGCGTGTCTGCGTGCACTCGTGATACGGCAACAACTGGGTCCACTCGAGAGAGGCGGAAGTTTGTTCGCAAGAGCGTGAGCAGAGTCTAACCTCGTTTGAACGTGAAGCTCGAAGAGTTTCCATATTCGAGCAACTTACTTTAACTTTAACAGAAGCTCGTTGCCTGCATTGCCTGTAACGCTTTGTTAAATAAGAATGAATTTTAACCCTTTGCCTTTCGCCAATGTTGTGCCTCAAATTTGATGCACAACTAAATGTCGTTTCTTGATTGTTTTCAGGTGGATCGAGCTTGGCAGGCGTTGTGGCCGGAAGTAAATCAACGAAACCCTTGAATAAACCAGAATTCGACGACATCGCAGCTCGAAATATCACCGCCATCGTTGGTCAAACAGCAGAATTGAACTGCTTCGTGAAGCATCCTGGAGACAGGGTGGTGAGTGATATTCCTTTTTATTTCATAAATACCATGGACACGTTTTTTTGTGTAAACGAAGCGTTATAAATTAGCTAGATTGTTATTCGCAACATTATCGCGATGCTGCATTAATCAGGTGTTAACTAATCCTGGGGAATTGCGAGCTTAACGAATGACGAGTGTCATCAGTTTCCCTGCTATTCTCGCTGTCATCGGTGTGATTAATAATATTTGAAGAAAACCGTCGGTTCGCGAGCTTATTTATTTAAATAATTATTCCAAATATAATTGGGAAGAGCGCAATCCAAGCTTGCAATTTCCTGAAAAATTTATGACCATTTATATATAACTTAATTTTTATCAGCCATTCGAGAATTGATTAGCCGCTAAAATATTTATGGTATTAAACATCGTTTTATCGTAATAGCAAACGTACTGAAAAGCTGCATTTAATCAGAATTGAAAGCTCAGCTTCCCGTCGACGATTCTAAAACTTTCAATTGCAAAAACTTCCCTGTCGTTCTTATCGCGATTCATTCAGTTATCTCGCGCCTGTATTCGCCTGTGCAACAAACGGAGCTTGTTCTTTATTGTCCCGTTAGCTTTTCACAGTTTCGATGTTGTTTCTGCAAAAGAGCAGCGTGAAATCATTATGAGAAATATTCATTTATCTGATAATTTCACGATTAATATTTTAACAGTCGTTATTCGTACCAGCTTTCGATCCTTTTCATGATTTTTGCAACAAAAACATTCACGCGTTCATTAACGCGATTACCTTCGATATTACACGGGTCAAGAAAGATCCGGCCGATATCACAATACTTTAACGAGCTCGTACAAACGATTTCCGGTACAGTATGGTTCATTAAATATTCGAGGGAACGTTAAAATCCACGTGCACAACGTCGAACAGAAATATTCGCATAATTATGAAGGTACGGGTATTAGCATAGGTATAAACCGTATCGGTATGCATAATGGCTAGTTTTCATCGAACTCGCGTGCACAGTGATCGTGTAATGATTACTTATTACCGCGTGTATGCATATTGTCGATACATTTTCCAACAAACACACCTACCCATCTATAGTTTATAAACTATCGATCGTGAACAATTGCAAATTATTTAATCGTGTCCTGAATCGGTGAGAATCGAAAGGACAAGTGTACAGATGATAACGTCGCCTTTGGTGTCTATCAAACCATTCATTTATTTCATGAATGAAACATTGATAAACGCCTGCTCCTCTATTTGCTGTACATTGTCATAATTTATCGCTGCTTCGGGTGATACTGTAAACGATGTTATTTGACAGCAGTCAGTATTACAGCCTGAAGATATTGCCAGGAAAACCGTATTTCAGATGTACATTTAGCGAGATAATTATAAATTTAATTCAAAAATATGAAATCAGTGGTATTTTCATCATTATTCTGATTGATATCAATTTATTCCGGGAATCAATAGCTGCTAACGCGAATTTGGTCAGCACCAAAATTTAATATAGCATATCGGAGGTAAACGCTTGTAAGGCAAATATTAAATTGGCAAACAATTCACTCGGTGGTTTATTGAAATTAGGATTAAATGATTTTTATGGGTCGAAAAAATATGCAAATGAATTTTTAATTAAATTTACTCTCTGTATCACAGATTGAATGAGGAAAAATTTAGTTCCGGGTGTAAAACATTGAGTGGAATATCGTTGAAAGCCCGCGTTTAAATTTTATCAAAGCGTAACAATATCATATTTTGCATTGTAGATTGAAAAAAGCAACATGCTTGAAATTTTCATTTCGTATTGCATTACGTGTACCTATTCGGATTTTATTACCAACAGCGTTTGGAAATCAGCGTGTACGAAAAGAGCCGTGTATCGATCTACTGGGTCGTTTGATGGATAAAACTTGGCCAATAAAAGTGGTCGTGAATTGAATTCCCTTGCCCTACGAGGCAAGCTGACGATCTCGAAGCTTTTATACACAGCCTACTAACACCGACGTCCCTTTGATATCGCGTGTCCAAATCGGCTCTACTTTAACGCGTCACCAGGCGTCCATCGGTCTAGCAACAAGAAAGACAATTCCTAAATCTCTTCTCCGTCCCCTTTTCGTTCCCGAACTCGCCCTGATATCGCGCGTGTATGTGTATGCATCAATAGCAGCGTGTATGTGTGTTGTAGAGAGCTGCACAAGCAGTGTCTTTAATTGCTAGGTAGTAGAGTCTCGAGTAGCGGAAGAAGCGAGTACAGGTTAGACTAGGATTGCCAAGGGTGGTCAGGGGTGACTGCACCCTCGCTGGCGGCAAATGAACCGATCAAGCATACTCGGCCAAGTGGTTACAAAGCCAGGCCACCTCGTTTTTCTACCAATACACCTGCTTCGCGTGCACATGTACAGGCGAAGGGAACGTGTGTAGGAATGTAAATGTATCTTGGTGGAGGTAGACAACTTGCAAAGATCAAAGGATAAATGTTAAATAGCGGACAGTAAATTAAGTGTTACGTCGGGTGATTTAATCTTAGACTTTTTAGAACTTTCGTCCGATAATTATTTTTCAACCCTTCTCCATTGAAATATTAACCCTCTATTGCATTTCGTTCCCAATTGGGAACTTAAATGTCAAATGTTCTATAGTAAATTAAGTAGACAATACTGAAGACTCTGAGTTGGTTCCATCGCGCAGTTTTCTAATAAAATTGTATTCTTTATTTCACGACCACACTCATTAAGTCACATATATTTTTTTCAACTCGTCATAAAAATTCATGTAATAGAGGGTTAATTGAATTCCATGCTGATGTATATTTTTAATTTGAAGGTTTGAGGATTTTTATTGAAAGCATCGTGGCTTGTAACAGTAGGGTAGAGTGCATGCGCAGGTGTCTTGAAGTCTTCAAAATTTATGATGCACGGTTCAGTTTAGCATTTAAAGTTGATCACTTTGCATGATACGAACACCCTTCACTCTCTCCATCGCCACACGTCCTTTGAACCCTTTGCATTTCTTTACCCCCTCGGTTCTTTGACACCTGCCACATCCCGTCAGCTAAACAAGCTTTAGACATTAAATGCATCCAGTTTTCATGGCAACAAAGGGGTTAACATTTTTTTTTTTTTCAGAAACCTTTATTCGACCTACTTCATCCCCATTCGCGAACGCCTTGTACATTTTTAACCCTCCCGTCTGTATCCTTTTATTTCCCTCTGGCAAATCGATGAATCGTGTGTAAAAGGCGTTGTTAATGCCCCGGAACAGCGTAGAGGAATGCATTGGTCTTCTATTAGGCGGATGCATTAGCCTGAATAATGCAGTAGGTTTGATACGGTGATGCATGGGCTTCTTAAAATTCCGCTGGAAAACTGTTGCTCGCCGCTACATCACTGTTCCTTCCCGGAGAAAAATACACCGGTCTGCATCTAGTTTGCGGCTACACAGAGCCAACACCGTGCCTGATTGCGCCAGTCTGCTTCCGTCCAAGTGATCTGTTTAATCGTGTCCTTCCCATCGCATGTAAACCGATGGAAATAGTTCGGATGGCTTAAGCTTAATCGCGTATCTGGTGTACACGGTACCGTAGCGCCACAAGGAATTTCAAATGCGCGTGTCAAGTAGTACCGTTTAATTATTCGAACCCGTTGATCCGAGAGGGGACATCAATCGGGTAGGTGAGAATTTTTCCCGTTGTATCGTACTAACGAATTGATTACAGAGGAGATCGATCGAAAACGCAAACCCGAACGCGTCGAGGCGAGGCAACAGTTTCGGGGCGGTGTTGTCCCGGCGGAAAATTGAAAAACCACATCGAAAACTCTATGCTTCGTTGTACGCGCGCTGGTGAGAAAGAAAAACATATTCGAAATGATGGCTGAGACGGAGGTAGAGCGGAACGCAACAACATCGCTTCACCGGTAACTCCGATAATTGTTTTAGCGGCGGATCGAGAACATAATACGTTGAACTGCTTTGTACGACGGGGGTCCGTTTAAACTTAGTTTAATTAAACCGTGGATTTATTGGGCAACGCTTGATACCTACACACGAAGACACCGGCACGCTGCCTAGCGACAACGCCTGTACCTGCCTCGTGGGGGTTGAAACCTGGGGGGGGTTGGTTACCGTATCGAGTGGAACTCTATACATATGTGTACGTGTGCGCGAACGTACAGGTGTGCGCGCCAGTGTATGCCGGTACATGCGATCTAGACGGGGATGGAATCTTCGAAATGGCCCCGGGAGAGATATTGCCGAGCATCAATCGGGATAATGGCGGTGATCTAAGAAGGAAGGGTAAAGTCCGTACCAAGAATCCGTACGATGACCATGAACGTCTGACGATAATAACAGTGAGTGGAATCGTAGGAGAAAAATGTCGGGAGATTAACGGACATTTTTTGTAACTTGTATACGTCTTTCGAAAGATAACATGGAATCAACTGTAATCTTAACTTCGCAACGTTTCGAACAAAATACTGATCTCTTCGAGGTTTATTATATATTTTTCACATCTTTTATACCTTTCGCGAGAACCATTCTGAAAGTTATCTATCATTTCGAGGCCTCCTGGGTGGTGTTGCCATTTAAGGGAGGACAGACGGGTCTCGTCGGTTTACAAGAAACCGTAAATTGACGTGGACGACGGGGGCGTAGTTGTATCAAGTAGTTAGAAATTGGGTTGAAGTACAACGACCGGTTGTTATGTGTCAGCCCTTGTTAGCCGACTTTCTTCCACTCGTCGTACACACGATCCGTGTATTTGAATAAATTTCTCATTTCTTTTTTCCTTCTACATTTGAACCGTGTAATTTTGTTGAAACGCGTTTGAACACCCACTGCTATTGATGTCAGCAAATATTTACACGGTCGTGGAAAGTTTCAGCGGAGCATTTCTAATCGTCGGCAACTAGTTATACGAAACAGCGAGCATAGCTAGGTCGATCGCAGAAGTTCCAATTACCTTGAGAGAGCGTAACGTGCTCCGTTCCGGGGTCGAAACGTTTGCAACAGATATCTT